ATGATAGTGTACATCTCTACTGAAGGTGACCATTATTAACACTATTATTGTTAGTAATAGTTGTAGTAACATCGTTACTGTTATTCAAAGTTTAAGATAATTATTAAGTGATTGAATATATTTTATTTAGAATGTTAAATAAGTCATAAAACTTCATTTATTGAACTGGAATCCATAAAGAAAGTGATACTGTGTGCATATCACTGTTAGGAAATATATTTTGTTGTAAACTGACAAACCATAGAGAAACATTGAAGTACATAACTGGATAAATTGTTTTGTCCTATTGTGAGGACATTGACACCACGAAAATGATTCGCATTCATACAAATTTAAGACTGGTAAGTCATGAAGTAGTTATGATCCTCATATATTACTGAATTGAGATCCAATTCTTCATATTATCAACTTCATTCCGAAGTTCAATGTAACGATCGTCATTCAATATAACCGATGATAACTGTCTAGTTTTTTGTGTATACGTATAAAAATATCAAAGCTGTTACGATTGTTACCGGCTGGTACTTGGAATAAGAAAAAAACTGGTGTAAGTGAAAGATTTTATTTACCATTTAAGAAGCAATAGTAACAAGTTATCAACCAAATACACTTATATACACATCATACTAAGATTTAATGATTAATTGATGAATATCAATTAAATGAAATAGTGATAATAAAAATGAAATTTTTGTTGAAATATGAAGAAATGAATACTGCATGTCATACCGCAGTAGTAATACACTAAACGAATATTAAAAATTGTGATGTTCATCAAATATTACGCATATATCACACTGAATCCAAACATAACCTCAAGTTTTATCATAGCCTAACTATATATATTTAAGCAGAACAAATATCTACTAATCATTTATGTAACCAAAAGTCAAATATATAGAGCTTTTTATTTGAAAAAGTTTATTTGATTTAATTCAATCTGGTGTATATAAGCCTGTGATATCTAATTATGATGATCAGTAACATATCAGTGAAAAATATCAGTCCCACACAGAAATCCGTCATAGCTCGAACAACTCAGTAGTAACATTTAGAAAAGTAACACTACATAATATGTAGTTCAGTTCTATAGTGAAGTAACATCTGACCTCTCTGAACTATACATAATCTCAAACGAAAAAATATCTACCTGCTGATCACCTCCAACCACCGTAAGTGTACGTATTTATGTGGAATTTCAAGGGAAACGGTTATTGTCACCGAAGCTGGTTACAGCAACACACTAATACTTTATTATGAAGGTGAATTCTAACAAATAAATAATGCAGTGAAATATTCATTAAAAGATACATAAGAAAAGCTTACTACATATAATTTTGCCTGTACATTATTAGAGAACAAAGTAATTAGTTGCAGACATGTATCTCAACCTTAGTCTTTGATCAAGATTGTGAATAAAACATAACATGATCTGTAGTGAAAATTATTGCGAATTAGTACAATATCAGTTGTTGTATAACTGTAGAGTAAGCAATCACACACAAATGATTTATTCAGCCAAATATCACTACAGATTTTATCAGAATAACAATTATTGTTTAAAAAAATAATACATACCTGATGTAGACCAAATCAAAACGGAACCAAATATATTCAGATGCTCTTTCATTACAGGTTAAATCAGTTTTAAATTACTAACAAACAACTAAATGTGAGGTTAGATGACTGTGAAAATAGGGTTGTTTTCAAAATACTTGAAATTAAAACACCAATGTAGAAACAAATATACCAACTCATTCCGACAATAATTGCACAAGTCGATGTTTAGATGTATCTATTAGCCGACTCAGAAAATGATGAAATATTATAATTTATAAGTGAAATTTTCAGTCTGTCGAGTCATAAATTTAAAAAGTCGTAAAAACCCTTTCTACTGATGATTTGAATGAATCAATGAACGATGTCTTAAACTAAATGCATTAAAATACATCTCACACAATCGATTTTTGAACCTGGTAACTAGAATTGCACACCTACACATATTTATTGTGATATCTAAAAAGAATCGGCAACTGAAAATATTTTAGGTGAAGCAAATAGTGAGAGACAATGAATTAGATTAAGCTACATACTGAATTTATTTTGTGTTTTCAGGTGCTTTCAAAGTCAATTTGTATTCACGACATTACTTAACAACTGATGAAGTATTAAGGAACTCTGAACTTCATTTGATATGAAATGATTGAATTTGTGTTGAACAAAGTGTGATGTGATGGATTTCATCTATGTGGTTCCAAACACGTGTTGTGTATTTTATTTCTATTTATTGGAGTGTAACTGGCAATGATCTCTGAGTAGAAATGTCGTCGATTCAATGTAAGTAATGTGAGTTATATGAAACCTTACCGAAACAAATATTCACATTCTGTGATACTTAAAACACAATAATTTCAATATTCTTACATTGACTCATTAAACGAATTTACTAGAAAATGTGAAGATCTTTCCCGAGTATAACAAATTTCCACATGAATTCGGTAATTTAAAGAGACGTCGTATTTTTCAAACCTCTATTATTTAGTGTTAGTTCTACCGTTAGATTGAGACGAAACCTGGATGTTTTAATAAAATTTCAGCATAAAGGAATATACATGTCATTATCACATATTTTCAGTCATACCTCCAATTGTTTGTTTCTATACTCTACGGCTAACCCATAGACCGTGAATAGGATATTTGAACTTTCCAACATGATTTATTGTATACGTTCATGAACTGATACCATAGATGTAACTACTTTTTGTTTATTTTTATTCTGATCAGTTTTTCACATCAGGGTAAAAAGTGATCAAATATGCGTTATAGATGTATTGATGCAAGTTCGTAACTTCATTTATTGATTTACACATTAAGACTAAATTTACTATCATTTAGAAGAGTTTCTGTTAGTTAGTTAAGGAACTACAATTAATAGTGTAAAACTATTATTATTGGAGGTATCAAGACTACTATTTATATAAACTTGAAAAGAACATCAATATTATCTCTTATTGTTGACCAAAAGGCTAAAGGAAACACTAAGCAGTTTTATTCTAGAACATGTAGTCTCGATACTAAGTTAACTTTCAAAATTATTTGTAGAGTTCTTTCGAATGTGCCTTATGTTTTTAGAATTCATCTCTTACACACAATAGAATCTATAGGAATATACATAAATAAACGTAATCATTGTGAATAGAAAATGTTTTGTGCAGTATTTTGATTTACTCTGACCTTTTATTTCACTATTACACTACTCAATTGCTATATTTCGAGCTTAAACAATTCCTTTTTTCTTTATTCTTACTTAACTAGTTGTAACAACTGATTCATTATGTAATCTTGTTTTTAATTACACTATCATTAGTTGACTTAGGAACTGATCACTACTTTCTAAAAACAGATTTTATGAAATTTACTAAAAACTAATCTACTACTAATTAATGTTTGATATTGATTTATCTTTAAGTTGATAAATATTTTTCATTACGGCAGAGCCTTTGACTAGAAACTAGTTAGAAAGAAATATGTTTTTCTTCACATAATTTAGATCTTTTTTAATATATACTAGCAAAATTATTTAACTTTAAGTATGTATCAATATTAAATGTGTTTCCTAAGCTACTCTAATCTTATTTTACTTAATAAAATAAACAGATAAATTTATTAGTAACTAAAAATTAATTAATCATAAATAAGAAAAATGAAAAATCACTAGTCAATAATCTAAATATTGAAATTATTGTGTTTGTTGGGACTGATTAAACAGGAATGTCATAATTTAATCAATATATCATAGATATGTATATAGTTGTTTGTATAGTTAAAGTAAATTCAAGATCAAGTTTTAATGGTATTAACCAATTTACTGTTGCAGTTGTCAACAATTAGCTTTTTTTTGGTTAGGTAGTAATGCTTTGGACAAGTAAATCTGCATTGGTTTAATAAAACTATATTGTGTGTATGTGTATATAATAAAGACTTTATTGAAGAAAGAAAACTTATTTAATACAAATATATTTGTTAATATACGATGATAAAAATGTTATTGTTTACATGAGTTTGTAGTTAACTACTAAAAAGCTATAATCAAAATTATAATATTATAAAATTAGAAGAAATATATTTTTTAACTGGGTTTAAGTCTCACACGCGTTTGCTCAAGACCGGGTGTGCTAGGTTCAAGTCCCGAGTGTGAGATCGCGGATGAGTATTTCTGAGTTGACTCATACTTATACGAAATGGTTATCTAGTGCTTTCAGGTTTTCAATGGCAGTCTATGATTGGTTGGTTGACGATTTCGAAGGAATTTAATAATCTCTATAACTGCTTACTGATAAAAGACTTTTATTGGGTTTAAGTAATTTTATTCGAAGGTAGACTTTCATAGAGATAGAGTTCTTGAGTTTATTTTTTTCTAATCTACACATTACATTTAAACAAATTGACACTGTCATATAAATCCGATTATTCCATTCTATGATGTAACCAATTTATCACAGATAAAAAATAACCTCATGAAGACTTACATGATCTTCAATAATATTACTATTTTGATTAAACGGGCAATGTTTGAGAATCTGTCAACCTTAATAGTTTTATATATTCTGATTCGATTATTACAAAATTGTAATTATTTAGTAATAATAGCAAAATTATGACTTTTTTAAATCGTGTCTTGTGAGTTATAAAAGAGATAATAGGGGCATATAGACATTTTCCTGCTCTAAATTTGTGATCTTTAAAAAGGATGGTTTCTGAAAATCGATTCACTTTAAAGACAGTAATCATAGTCAATCAAAATTATTAATAGAACCATTGTAAACGGAGAAATAATTTCTGTATGCTTTTTTTAGCATACTCTTGGCTAAATCTGAATTAAACGATTATTTAATCCTTAAGTGAATCTGTTATAATTTGGTAATTGATTTCAGTTCAGCAAATTATGATAATGGATTATGATAATTTGACATTGAAATTTAGTTCAATTCAATACTTACTGATTTGTTCGATCATAGTCTGGTGCTAAAGCAGTAGTAACAATTAATTTACCGTCAGGTCCACATAAATAGTTGACACGTTTTTTGGACTGATTATTATTTGATTTACCATCATCAGTATTTTCTTTGTTTAAACCAAAAAAAAAAAAGAAAATGAAAAAGAACATAATCCAATTAGGTAATTACATAAAATATATTAACGTCCGTGAAACTGTACTTTACGAACTAATCAATTTCAAGATAGTACCGTTCGGATTTTCGCACAAATTTTAAAGTGTAATGATAAATACACAGCAGTTTATTAAATCATAATGTAAGAACTGAATAAAATCTACCAATATTTAGCAATTAAGAAACTTGAAAACTAATAGACATGACCAAACTAAATAATATGAAGTTTCAGTATTCATCGTGAGACCTTAAAATCTTGGGTTTAATTTCCTGTAGGGTTGTGGATGTGCAACCCTGTAATCGTGACAACTTTCATAATTTTTACACACCTTCATACTGATAATTGAAACGATCGTGAGCAGTTCTTGAGGTAATGATGAAAAATTGATTCGTTGTACAGTGGAATATATAACTTCCTTTCGAAGTAACTCAAACATTTTGAGTTTTCGATTCAATGAGCTATCTGCAATAATATTCCACCTTGTGGCTTCAAAGCATTTCTTCATCATAATCTTAGATCTTACTCTAATTTGAACTTTCATAACAATATCAACCATTTAAGAGGTTTATATAAGTTCTATTTTTTTTATTTCTGAAATAAATTATTTATTTATAACCCGTACACTTTGATTGTCTTATAAATTGTTGAAATTTCCCAGGGTTATCCATAAATTATAGTACTGGCACACGAAAGACTGTGATTTGTTTGATGCAAAAAAAATTGAGACTACAGACTAAGGTTTGTTATACACCATAAATAATTCAAAGCTATATCTAAACAGAACCAGTTATACCTGGATTAATTATGTAATCATTAGTCAAATATGAATTCACTGAGTTAGACAATACTTGATGTTGGTGAATTAGTTACAATTTACATTAACAATAAAATAAATTGCTCTGATTTAAAAATATGGGTAAATTACCATGCTATTTATTTCCTCCTTCATAACATTTACAAATTTAGGTACAGAGAAAAAATAAATATAAGTCCATTTATTTCCTGAATGCATTACAGAGGGTTTATAACCTTAAAAATATATATACATTATTTAGTTGAGTATAAATATAAGATACATTGTACACCGTACTTCACAATGGCAGGAAACTATTGATCACAACTGATAGATTTAAAAAAAATTCTCTTTGGATGGATATATAAATTGCTCTAAGAAAAAGGATAAAAAAGATTTCAATCGAAATTTTAAGGAGAAACCGAAGACAAAGAATAATATGGCTTTCATCAGATTATTAGATAGTTCTTACCACAGACGATATCAGCTCATGAACTATGGCAAATTTATTTAAATATTCAATTATAAAATATCTTATTTTATGCCCATTTCCTAAAACATATATTTAAAATCAAGTTCTTATCAGTTGAATTTCAGTTATGCTTATTGTCTTTAACAAAATACTTTGTAATGTTTTATCTACTGACTTATTTACTTTTATAAAGTTTTCATTTTTGCGAGATCAGTCACCATTATTCATTTGAAAAATTCCGAATAACTCATTTATCGATTCGAGGTAAAAGTAATCAACGTTAGGTCATATTGTATGCGTGAAAGATATTAATGTTACTAAACTGTTCATTTCAAAGTATGTAAAGTGAAGTATAAACCTTTGTAATATTGTTTGCAATTTAGCTACTTTAATAACTCTTAACTTATAATAATACATTTACGGTTTTATCTTTCGAATACTAACGAATTTTAATCCATATAGATTTCAATAGTTGAAATCATGAGTCAATTGAAGTTAGATGACCATAGAAAACACGGAAGAACTGGACGACTGTTTCTTCCTACCGTTGGACTCCTTAGCAGTGCGCATCCACGACCCCGCCCCTCGTGAGCTTCGAGCCCACGCGCGAGCGCTTAACCAACTACACCACTGAGCCGGCCGGTATCCAACAGTGTTAATGTCTAACTTCCACTAATCCACAAAATTGCTCCACCGTACATCATTACCTTCAGTGAGCTGATATCTCACAACCGACATGGTTGAACTCCACTGGTCACTGCTTCTCACTAGAACTCCAGGAAATGCCTCTTGAAGTCAGTCACTAGTGAGCAAATGATGATTACTATCAGATGGGGTTCTTGATGAACTTTTAATCAAATAAAGAAGGATATTTACACTAGACATTTGATTGTTGAAAACGGATCAGCTTATAAGAAGTTATATTGGTTGGAATATTAAATATACTCTCAGTTGGCATAATAATAAGCTGTTTTTAAAAAAAGAATAATAACGGAAGTTCAATTATATGACCAATTAATTAATATGTTAGTAAATGTAATACTTAAAACAATTACTAACCAAATACCTGTGGATGACCTTGTTCAGTCTTTATAATTTCAACAAAGGTTTCAACTTTATTCGTTAGTTTTTTTTTCTTGCTTACATACGGTGTTAATAATGTACATATAAAAGTACAATTAAGCAATTTATTTTATGAGAAATTACTTAGAAGAATGTGCTAAATCTATTGATCTACAAATCATATGGTTACTGTAAAAGAAAACGTATATATCTTTATGTTCGCAGAACAAAATGCATTCAGTAATGAAAAAAAAATTGAATAAACACAAAAAAATTCATAATTATGGTTATTATTATAATATATCAGTTTGAATTGTTATAATTCAGGAGAAATCAAAAGAAATCAAAATTAAAAAGGATAATAAATATTATGTGAGAAACAAACTAGTAAGTAATGTGATCCACAGGTTCGGAGTTCAAATTCCATGTACTTTTATATATATTTTGGATCAAGGTCAATAAAAAAGTACCAGAAATGTTACAGTTAATTAGTAATTTTAACAAGTAAACTGTTTTATTACCTATTAACATATTACTAACTTTATGAGAAAATAATTCAGCTGACTTTTATAAACAACGTATATTATGCTATTCGTTAGTTAAGTACTCATATAACACACTTAAAACACTTCAAACTTTCGGTTTTTCTTAAATTGCTATTGTTTAGAAATCATGCAATTCTCTCAAGTAATCTCAGTCCCACAGGATAAATGAGAGTTTGCAATATACTCATTATCATAAGTCAATTGTTAGACAAATTTAATATCATTGAGTATGATGGTAATACTTGATCTTTTATTGATTATAAATAATAGATTATATTGTCAACAAGGAATTTGTTGATACATGCTGATACATTATTCGGATTCTTCATATTATGAAACTTACGATTAATGATTCCTAATTAATACATCAAAAAACATGACAAAGTAAAAAGGATATATCAAAATGTTTTTTCAGTCAGCTACAACGTAGGACCAGGCACATATATGTATCGTTCCTAGTTGCCACACCTCATTAGCACAACCAGATAAACACCGAATTTATCGAAGCAGTTACTCTAATGGTAGTAGTATATAAAAGAAAGAATTAGTTCGTAGAAATAAATATATAAAACAATTTTAAACTCATGGTTTAAGGAAAGACAAAGAGTGTATACACTTACTCCACTGTGATCGATTCTCAGCCATGTCACGATAGTCGCGTGGACCCCGACCAAGTAGTTTGCATCTACCAACATGGTTCAGACTAAAAGTTAGTGACTTTATAAATTGATACCACGTTATTATTTGTCCGCTACTAACTTCCTTTCATCCATCTTCAACTGTTATTTCATTGTAATAGATTACTGTATTTCCTTCTCATATGTATTAGAAAGTTAACAGTTTAAGTTTTTTCAGTGATCCTTATTTAAAATAACAGCTTAAATATATTTTTGTGAACAAAATTAACTTGACTGATATTTTTATTGCAAAAATTATGTAAATGCTACAAACCATGTAAATTCACTTAACTAATATGACGGTTTTTCACTTATAGTGTATAAATGCGACGGTAATTCTAAATGCCTACTTTTTCTAAATACACTTACAAGGTAAAAGTAACTGAATTAGTTAAAGTATATATTATGATTATTAAAAATTTTATTAATAAACTACCATGTATTAATGTGTTAAAACAAGGAAGGAAAGTTTTATTTATCGATAATTTGAATAAGAGACCTTTTAGTCAACCATTACATCTGTCACTAAATTGTCATATTGAAAAGTAAATGTAGTAATGAATCAGGTTATTTGATTATGTTCTACCCAGACAAATTAATAAAACATAGTTGTAGATAACTATGCTATTTTTATCTTATTAATGGTTACATAATCCTAACTAATCACAATAACAACAATAAAGAAAAGGAAACTTGTTGAAATACATTGTGCTTAGAATTCTATATCGTACAGAAAATATAATATTGAATAAAGGCACAAATAATGCGGAGAAAATGCATAGAAGGCTGACGATAAACACTAAGTGAAAGCGTTTCTTAACTTATCTGTGCATAACGTGATCAAAATTATATATCTGTTATCCATTTTGTCTGTTAGGGAGAGAAATAAACTATAATAGTAATAATTGAACAAAAATGAAGAAAATAGAGTTCAGACAAAAATAGATAAATAAAGGCCTATCTCAACAAACGGTCAGTTTCTTTTCTTTATCAAGTCATTGTAAATGATGATCGTATAGGTAGGCGCGAAGGAAAATGGCAAATGAAGTGTCAACAACTATCGATAACCATACTAGACAATACAACTTTATGTAACTGTAACTTTTATGTAATGATAAGTGAACAATAATAGTCCTCAAAAATTATTATGCAAAACTCCATGTTTTTTCTTTATGTAATGTATATGAAGTGGTTTCCTGTAACGTAAACATTCTGATCTTTACATAGTCTAATAAAGTTTTATAATTGTCTAAGTTTAGGTGGTTTAGATAATAAAGTCTCGTGGACATATATATATATATATATATATATATATATATATAATCAAACTAATTACTGTATGCTCACTAATGATTTCATTTCAATGAATTCCTGAAATTCTGATAGGTAAGAGTAAACGGTGAAGTTCATCCCCATTTATGAATGAGACACAAGTTTTTAATGAAATTGGTTGATATTTGCATTGTAGTACGATTTAAGTGAAGATGTAAATGTATACAGTTGGTTGCTAACCTGATAGTTTAATGATTAAACGATTACCGTGAGACAATGCACTTCTAACTCAAATCTTCGGCCAGATCATTAGGGCCTATTACTGAGGAGCTGCTCACTAGGACAATTCAGTAATCCAGTAATCCCTGGTTTTTCTTTGTGGTTAATCAGTGGAGAATATATGTAATTTAACTCTCAATCGACAGTCATAATCATTCAACATACAATATAACCAAACATCATAAAATCCAATAGCTTCTTGGTTCGCAGCCGACTTATTCAAATTTGTTTATAGCTATAATTGAGTATTGCTGAAAAAACAAATTTAAAGTTCTGTTGATAGTTAGTTCTTAAGCCTATCTTATAAAATCCGAGTCAGCGAATCAACGCGATCTTTTAATTCTTACAATGTTATCTATGTAACTGAGAATTAGTGTTGAGTTACAATCTTTAGAAGTAAATAGCCAACCAACATACACTACATTATACTGGAAGACAATTATATAATATTATTATTAGGGGTTTGGGTTTTATCATTATTTTTAATCAAGATTGAGTTA